CCATCTGAACCAAGAAAGCCGGTTTCTGCTGAGACATCCTCACGATTCGCTCTTAAACTTAAGCTGGCCACGGCGTGCAGGCGACGCTGGCGGTGTGCTGCCCGCGCCGAGGCGAGAGCGCCGTTTGGACGGACTTTCGGCCATTGTACGGTTCGGCCCGCATAGTACGCTATGTTATCAATGCGAGGCTAAGCTATGCGGTGTGATGCGATGCGATACTATGCTGTGCGATGCGATGCTATGCTATGCTATGCTACGCCATACTGTGCCATGCGATGATATGCTAGTATAAGCGACGCGATGCGATGCGATGCCATGACATGCTATGCGATGCGATGCTATGCTATGCTACGCGATGCTCGTCTATGCTGTGTTGTGCGATGCTATGCGATGCTATGCTATGCTCTGCTGTGCGATGCAATGCTATGTTGTAGCTCCAGTTGGTTCCCCTTCCTCACCCCCACCACCACACGCACAACCTCTTTATAACCCGAAGGGTGGTCGTACATGTAGGTATACACTGGCAGGATCTCGCGGCCAGAGATACAACCGCCTCGCGCACACTTGCCTGGAGCGGGGAGGGATGGGGAGGAATCTGGGAGGTGCGGGGAGGGGTGCAGAGTGAGGTGTCTTGTGGGCCTCTTGGACTGTCTCAGAGCGCTCTGGGATCCACAGGCGCCTACGGAGGTCGTCTTGGAGGGCTCTGTGGGACGTTTTGGGGCGATCCTGGGAGCTTCTTGGACCGTATTGGAGGCCTTGTTGGGATGTCTTGCGGCGCTCTTGGGGTTCTCTGAGGCCGTCGTGGACGCTATTAATACAAAGCGCATATGCCCAAAATAGACGTTTCCCAAAGGAATTAGGGCGATGTGTGTTCCTTGCGGCCCTCATAAGTGTCCTCTTGAAGCCCTCTTCAAGCGCTTGGGGGGCCTCTCGGGCCGTCTTGAAGCCATCATGGGCGTCTTGACGAACTCTTGGACCGTCTCGGAAACCTCCTGGACCGTCTGAGGAGCGCCTTCGGGCCCTCCGAAAGCCCCCCGAAGGACCCCGAGGGACACAGTGGGCACCGCGGGGGGAGGGGGGAGTTTGGGAAAAGTGGACAGCCTCGGGCCCTAGGGGTCTGGTCGCGGGGTTCGCATGGTGACGGGCAACTATGATGAGCGCTTGCGCGCTGCAGTCAGATCCACCTTGAGCCAAAATGGCTACGGATGCTCGTGGGGCGTCTTTGGGGGCTCCTGTGGGGCCTCGTGGAGCCTCTAGGAGGCCTCTAGGAGGCCTCTTGGGCTCTCGTAGGGTCTCTTGGGGCCTCCTGGAGGCCTACTGGGGCGGAAGGCTCGAATTGTCGGTTCGTGTTCCCCCTCTTGAGCCCCTCTTGGGGCCCTCTTGAGGCGATCTTGGGCGCCTCTAGGGCCGCCTTGGGGCACTTTTTGGGCCATCTTGGGGGCTCTCTCTATTGCGCCGTCGTGGCGCCCTCTTTGGGTGCCTCTTGGGCCGTCTTGAGCTGGTTCCTGGGGCCTCATGGGCTGTCTTGAACCGTTGGAAGCATGAAACAGCGAGAACACGATCAACCTTCAAAAACCATTGAGGAAACCTACTTGCTTCGCCTCCTGAGTGCCTCGTGGGAGCACTTTTGAGGGCATCTTGGCCATCTTGAAGCTCTCTTGGGCTGTCTTCAAAACCATGTTGGACCAATTTTGGAACGCTATTGTGCGGTCTTGGGCTCTCTCGGACCGGTCGTGGGCCATCAAGGCGCCATCTTGGACGTCTCTCGGCCCTTTTTGACGTTTTTTGGCGCCCCCCGCTGGGCCCGAAACGGTCAGACGAAAAATCAGTGCGCTTCGGAGGGCCCGGGACCCCCTACCCATTATACGTATATATATATATATATATATATATATTCTCATACGCACCTCTCCGAGGGAGTAGAGCTCAGAGGCGATTAATGCGTCCGTCGTTCGCGATTTTTCTGGCCGTTTCGCTCGGGACATCCTCGAAATTCTGAAAATCGGTGGCACCCCTCACGCAGATCGTGACGTCAGGGTCCAAAAACACATAGGATTTCCAACATTTTATCATGAAACCTTCAAAAACACATGGTAATTTCAATGATTTTGACTCCGATTCTCAGAGAATGGCGGTTTCGCCTGAGACATCCTCCCAAAATCGAGCCCCAGACCCCTCCTCGGAGCCTCCTGGGGGCCTCCTGGAACCTCCTGGGGCCTCCTGGGGCTTTCTGGACCCTCTGGTACCCCAGCCCCCGCCTCGGAGCCTCCTGGAGTTCTCCTGGGCCTGCTGAGGCCGCCTGGGGCCTCCTGGGGCCTCCTGGGGCCTCCTGGGGCTTCAGAACTACATGCACACACAGAGACACAAATCACGCCCAACACATCACACGCTAGACAACATAACATACACACACAACACCGACAACACGCAAAAAGCACGCACCACACAAAGCACACATCACACACACACACAACACTCACAATCCTGGGGCCTCCTGGAGCCTCTCCTGGTATCCAAGTCGGGCCTCCTGAGGCTTCCTGGGGGGCCCTGGTACACACATCGCAAGGTGTGCAACCCCACTTGCGCTCGAGTGCGACTTCGCTGTTGCATGTCACTCCTGCTTCAAACGCCCCTTCAGCTTGTTGTATGAGCCTGGGCACACACGTGCCACTTGTATATATATATATATATATATATATACATATACATATATGTGTATGTATATACATGCTTACATATAAATATACTATATATTATGCATACGTAAACCAACACATCATATATTTATATATATATCTATATATATATTATATTATATGTGTGTGTAATATATGTACAAAAATAAATATTCCCTTTTCTATATTTTTATAATCCTGGGGGGTGGGACCCCCCCCCCCGAAATAGGATCCTCCCCAACCGGGACTTCCGGAAACGGGACCCCTCACGAGGATCGCAGCCTCCGAGCGCGAAAATTAGCGCTCTCCGTCCAAAGAGGAAGAAGAGAGGACACGCGAGGCTCCTTGGACCTCCCGAGAGGCTTTCTCGAGGCTCCTACGAAGGCCCAAGAGGGTCCCAAGAGCCTTCCAGAGTCCTCCGAAGAAGCCCCCGAGAGATGAACATCTGTGATTTCCTATGATTTTTCTAAGTTTATTGCTTCTTTGCATGTTCACTGTTCCGACGTGCCAAGACGGCCGAAGACGCCCACAAGACCGATGCCAGACGGCTCAAGAGGCCTCCAAGCGAGTCCGAAACCGGCCCAAGACAGCCCCGACACGGCCCAAGGGGTGCCCCAGACGGCCCCAGAGAGCCCCAAGACGGCCTTCAGAAAGGGCACCCCTCACGAGGATCGTAGCCTTCCAGCGCGAAACTGAGCGATCTTCGTCCGAAGAGGCACCTACGAGGGTACGCGAGGGTCCTCGGGTTGCCTTCAAAGCTTCTTAAAGGTTCCCCCGACAGCTTGAGAAGGCCCCACGAACCTCGCAGAGTTTCTGAAGAAGGCCCCAAGAGATCAAAATCATGAATTTCCTATGGCTTTCCTAAGATTTTGGCTTCGTTGCATGTTCACTGTTCCGACGTGCCAAGACGGCCGAAGACGCCCACAAGACCAATCCCAGAGGGCCCAAGCAGCCTCCAAGCGAGTCCACAGCCGGCCCAACAGAGCCTCCAGACGGCCCAGGCCGTGCCCAAGACGGCCCCAGAGAGCCCCAAGACAAGCTTCAGAGAGAGCTTAAAAGGGAAAAAACATACAATTGCAACGCGCTCGGCTCCCACACGGCCACGCGAGGCCCCAAGCCCCTTCCAGGAGGCCACAAGAAGGGCCACAAGGCGCGCAAAAGGCTTATGATTTCAAGGACTCTGCACCCAGACGCCCACACGAAGCTCCAAGACCCCTCAACGGCTCCCCAGACGTGCCACGAGGCGCCCAAGAGCCGCCAAGAAGCATTCACGTAGTTCCCCCACGACGCCCCACAAGGCCTCTAAGAACCTCCACGAGTTCTCCGAAGAAGGCCTTTATAATCCTGGGGGGTGGGACCCCCCCCCCCCCGAAATAGGATCCTCCCCAACCGGGACTTCCGGAAACGGGACCCCTCACGAGGATCGCAGCCTCCGAGCGCGAAAATTAGCGCTCTCCGTCCAACGAGGAAGGTGAGAGGACACGCGAGGCTCCTTGGACCTCCCGAGAGGCTTTCTCGAGGCTCCTACGAAGGCCCAAGAGGGTCCCAAGAGCCTTCCAGAGTCCTCCGAAGAAGCCCCCAAGAGATGAAAATCAGTGATTTCCTATTATTTTTCTAAGATTTTTGCTTCTTTGCATGTTCACTGTTCCGACGTGCCAAGACGGCCGAAGACGCTCACAAGACCGATGCCAGACGGCTCAAGAGGCCTCCAAGCGAGTCCGAAACCGGCCCAAGACAGCCCCGACACGGCCCAAGGGGTGCCCAAGACGGCCCCAGACAGCCCCGACACAGCCCAAGGGGTGCCCAAGACGGCCCCAGAGAGCCCCAAGGTTTTTTTTTCCTTCTCGCATGTTCGGCTCTCCTGACCTCCGAGACAGCCGCAGATGCCCACAAGACCACCCAAGAGTGCTCAAGAAGCCTCCAAGCGATTCCACGGGGCCCAAGTCGGAACGTTTGAGCGCTCCACACCGGGTTACAGACGTGCCAGGGAGCGTTTCGACGCGTCTTCCGAACGAAGCCCATACATAACGTTCGTAGAGCCTGCCTGTCCCAAAGTCGCGTCAGCGCGCCTCCCCGCGCCCCCCCTGCCTCATACTTTGCAGTATACAGCTGCATTCTGGTCAGAATCCTGGGTTCGCACCCTTTTTTAAGAAATTTGGTTGCGAACCCGGGGTTTCGATAAGTTTCCCTCTGAAGTCCTAATCTTGCATTCCATTTGCCCCTTTCGTTGCTTCGAACACCAAGTTCTCCCACTCCCCCTCCGCAACCTCTGCACATTCGCAATGCGAGCCCGCGAGGACCCCTCGAAGGGACCGCAGGATACCGCGAGAAGCCAGCCGATCCAAAGCTTCAAGGAACAAGATGCATGGCGCGAAGCGCCTATGCAGTCTTGTATATATATGTGTATATATAGATGTGTATATGTTTGTAAACATGTATAAATACATACATACATACATACATACATACATACATACATACATACATACATACATACATACATACATACATACATACATACATACATACATACACACATACATACATACATACATACATACATACATACATACATACATACATACATACATACATACATACATACATACATACATACATACATACATACATACATTACATACATACATTACATACATACATACATACATACATACATACATACATACATACATACATACATACATACATACATACATACATACATACATACATTACATACATTACATACATTACATACATTACATACATTACATACATACATACATACATACATACATACATACATACATACATACATACATACATACATACATAACATACATACATACATACATACATACATACATACATACATACATACATATATACATACATGCACATACATACATACATTTCGGAGGGCTCTTGGGCTGTGTATTGGCAGTGTTGGGCCCATCTGGGGCCACGTTCGGGCCATCAGGGCCGCCTTGGGGCCTCCCGCTCCCGCTGTGGGTGGGGCCCAGCATGGGCCTGTCCTGGGGCTCTCTTGGGCCGTCTGAGGCTCGTCCCAGGCAATTTTCGGGCTCCCTTGGGCAATCTTGGGGCTCTGTTGGAGGTCTTTTCGGCGGTTTGGGGGCGTCGTCGGCTGTCGTAGAGCGCCGGGAGGTCGAAAACGCGAGACACCGAAAAACAGATCAAAAACCAACGGAAATCAAGGATTTGAGCCTCTTCGGGCTCTCGGGATGCTTCTCGGAGCTCTCTTGAGGCCTCTTGGAGGCCTCTTGGGCTGTGTAATTGCGGTCTCGAACCCATCCTGGACCACGTTAAGGCTATCTGGGCTGTCTTGGAAGGGCTTGTCGAAGTCCCCGAGGGCTTCTGGGAGCTCTCTGGGACAGTCTGGGAGCTCCAGGGCCGCTCCAGGGTGCTCTGGGAGCGGACTGGGGAACCCTGGTCCTCCCATGCCCTGTCGTGGTCGCGGCCCCGGTCGCCCGGGCCTCGTGCACGGGGATACCTACATCTCTCTCTCTCTCTCTCTCTCTCTCTCTATATATATATATATACACATGGACATATACATATACGTCTGCATACACATATACATGTCCATATGCATCTACATCTACATCTACATCTACAGCTACATCTACATATGACATACATGTAACTATAGATGTACATACTCATTTACATATACGTCTACATATACATATACGTATACAAATACATATACATGCCCATGTGTAAATACATATACAACTGCAGATACATATACGTATACATATACGTATACATACACATCTACATATACATAAGCATATGTACATACGCATACCTAAACCTATACATATACATACACATATACATATAATGAGTCATACGCATATGCATGCATCTATATTTGAAAATAATATCATATAAATACAAATGCATATGCCTATGTACAGATGCACCTATACACAACACCTTGCATACATATATATATATACATATATCTGGATATATATATATATATACATATTCACGTGTATTACATGTACATGAACATGAATATATACATACACCTATACAAGTACATTTACATCAACACGTGCATACACATATACTTGTACATATACATGTACATATACATGCACATACATATATATACAAACATACCTATGAATATGCACATGCAAATACATTTACATTTACATATACATGTACTTACGCATATACATGTACATGTGCATATACATATACATATACATACAAGCACACATATACACATACATATACATATGCATATACATTTACATATCCATCCCCATCCGTATCCATCCATCCATCCATCCATCCATCCATCCATCCATCCATCCATCCGTTCATCCACCCATCCATCCATCCATACATACAGACATGCATACATAAATACATACATTGGAAGCCCCTTGGGGTCTGCTTGGGGGCCTCTTGGGGACAAGCTCGGTGCGAAGACGAAAAACACGAATCCGGTTGACATGTACGATTTCCGAAGAGAACGGGGCCAATTTTGCCTCTCGGGGCCCTCTGGGAGGTCAAATTGCACGGGTTATGAGGCGTCTTGGAGGCCTCGTGTTGGCTGCTTGGGGCCTCGTGGGGGTCTCGGGCGCCCTCTTGGGGGGTGTTGGTCATGTATGTACGGAGAGATATGCTGCTGCTCAAGCACCAGGCAGATGCTGAGAGTTGCGGCACCGCAACGACGGGGTACCAGGCTCAACTCGTCGGCATCAGGCAGCCAGCTGGGTGGATTCGAGCACCCACGCCTGTGGAGAAATGACCAGGCGGAGTAGCCAACCCTCTCTAACCATATGGCGAATATGCGCATATCTCTATATATATGTATATATATATATATGTATATGTATCTAAATGAGACAGCATACTACAGCATAGGTTGGCATGTTTCGATATGCAGGGGCGGGGATTCTGATTCGCATGCTCGACCGCTAACTCCATACAACGAGCAAATCAGATATGCCCCCTTCAAACGAAGCGGCCCCGACACGCCAAGACCATGCCGTCGCAAACTAAGCTCCCTCTGGCCTGCAGGCCGCAGCCCCTGACGCAGACCGAGAACTCCTCTGAGCCCGCGTGCACCGTCAATACGCGGCGCCGACTGTCGGCTCGAGGAGCAAGAGGAAGCAAAAGAGTGAAACACCAGTGCTGGTAGTACTGTTCTCAACCCTCCTGCTCTGGGTCGTGTTTTCCAGCTTCGGAGCCGAACGCCCTAAGAGAAAATAGGAATGGCACGATTTTTGTTTCTTGGACCTCTCTTGGGGTGCCTCTCGGAACGTCTTGGGGTGCTTTTGGGAGCCTTTTGGCGCCTCTTGGCGGCATTTTGGCGCCTCCTGAGCCTCTTGGGCCGGAAGCTCGGAATTCGAGGTTGGCTTTCTCCGTCTGGGACCCCTCTCGAACTCGTCTTGGGGCTCTCTTCGGCCGTCTTGGGGCCGTCCTGGGCCACTCGTGCGCAGCCTTGGAGCGCGAAGCGCGCGCGTGGTTCTAGCTAGGATCGTCACCGTCGTCATCATGAACATCACCATCGCCATCATTCCCCCCGCCAGGGCTAATGTACATCGTTTCTGGATGCTTCTGGCCGGAATACGAAAGGAGTTTCTGTAGTTAGTCTCTGGGGGAAGTCGCGGGGAAGCTTTTGTTGTATTTGGTGTTGCGTCGCCAGGAGGTATGGGCTCCCTCCTCCTCGTGTTCCTACCTCCTCTCTGGACGTCCGATGTCGTGATGCTTTCTGTGCGCGGCCCCTGGACCTCTCGACGACTTCCTGGGGATGTGTGTTTTTTTCATCCTGAGTCGTTTTCTGACGGTCCCGGGACCCTGCGAGGGGCCCCGGAGGCCGAAAATTGACCGAAACCGCCGTCGTGATTCTTCCAAGACGTCGGAGGTCCAGGTCGTGCTTCCCGCCTCCCCAGACCTCCGACGTCGTAATTTTTGCGACTTCGGGCCCAGGAATCGATTGGGAAAACGCACATGGCAAGGCAAGAAATGATGGACCCATCATTTCGCACCTGTGCCTTGATCAGTGGGACGGGCTTCGCTCCGCCGCACATCACAAGACACGCTCGAGCGGATCCAGCCGTGGCGACGTCGGGGACTGCAGAAGGTCGCAAGGACACGGAATCTGAAAGGAAGAAAGAGAAAGAGAGAGAAAGAGAGGGAGAGAGAGAGAGAGAGAGAGAAACAGACAGACAGAGAGCGAAGGAGAGAGAGAGAGAGAGATGGATAGAGAGAGAGAGAAGAAGACAGAGAGAGAGAGAGGCAGAGAGAGGAAATGGAGAGGAGGCGAGCTTGAGTCAACGAAAGTCGCAGGGAAGGGGGCAGGGGGAAGAAGGCCAGAGAGCGCTAAAAGATACAAATACTGGAACCCTCTTGGGATTTTTTTGGGTGCCTCGTCCGGCCGCTCGCTGGGAGTTTGACGTAGCTTCTTGGGAGCCTCTGAACCTGTCGGGGGCCTCCTTGAAGCAGGTTCGAAGCATTGTGGGGGCCGATTTGGGGCTTCTCGGGGCCTCCTTTGGGCCTCTTGGGGGTCTCCTGGGGCCTCTTGAGGGGCCTCCTTGGGGGGGTCTCCTGGGGCCTCTTGAGGGGCCTCCTGGGGGCCTCCTGGCGGCCTCTTGGGGCGGAAGGCTCGAGCTTGCGGTTCGTGGTCCCCCTCTGGGCCCCCTATTGGGCCCGTCTTGGGGCCCTCTTGGGCCATCTTGGGCGCCTCTTGGGCCGTCTTGGGGCCCTCTTGGGCTGTCCTGGGGCCCTCTTGGAAGCTTCTTGGGCCGTCTTGGGGCGGTCTTGGGCGCCTCTTGGGCCGTCCTGTAACGTCGGAAAGCCCAAAAGACAACTTTGTTGAAAATGTACGTTTTACGAAGGGAATGGGCAAATTTTTGCGTCTAGGGGCCCTCTTGGGACGCATGTTGGAGGCTTCTTGGGGCCTCTTGGGGGCGTCCTTGGACGTCTGGAGGCCATCTTCAGCATCTCGGAGCCCTCTTGGAGGCCTCTATATACATTTACATATCCATCCCCATCCGTATCCATCCATCCATCCATCCATCCATCCATCCATCCATCCATCCATCCGTTCATCCACCCATCCATCCATACATACATACAGACATGCATACATAAATACATACATTGGAAGCCCCTTGGGGTCTGCTTGGGGGCCTCTTGGGGACAAGCTCGGTGCGAAGACGAAAAACACGAATCCGGTTGACATGTACGTTTTCCGAAGAGAACGGGGCCCTCTGGGAGGTCAAATTGCACGGGTTATGAGGCGTCTTGGAGGCCTCGTGTTGGCTGCTTGGGGC